ATATATTTCTTTAAGATTTCTCGGTAGATATAAATATATTTATACAGATATATTTATCTATTTTCGGTAGACGAAAATAGATAAATATACTATTTACAAAATAAATTGAAGCGTTACTTCAAATACAAGTATCCACTAAGAATAACGTTTAAAGTGATAAACAATCTGAATGATTAATGAATAAAAATTCATTACTTATAAAATTATGTATATATGTGCGTGTCCATATTACGTAAATAGTTTTCTTCTTTTTATATATATATATATATATATATATATATATAAGAAAAATATACAGAAAAAACAAACAAAAATTTTAATATACAAATATTCTGTATTAATGTTAATATAAAGTCAACATTTTCATTTAAATTTCGTGTTGAATTTTTATATGTTCTAATGTTAATTATGTTTAAATGAAAAGATGGTCTAAAATAGACCGAAACGTCCGACGTTGACTTTATATTAACATTAAAACAGAATAATTGCATATTAAGATTTTTGTTTGTTTTTTCTGTATATTTTTCTTCATACTGTCGGATCTATATCCATATATTAGCTTACATATGTGTGTGTGTGTATGCGCGTGTGTGTATATATATATATATATATATATTTATGTATATATTTATATATATATGTATGTGTGTGCGTGTGTGTGTGTGTGTGCGCGTGCGCGTGTGTCCATATTGAGTAAATAGTTTTCTTATGCTGGTTTCGGCGAAATTGGAAACAAGAGTAGCGGCATCAACAGTGCCATTGGTAATATTGGCGTCTCTGTCAGACAAAATGGCGTCCCATTTATTTAGGTACGGCATGTGATCGTCTTGAAGGTTTCAATATCCCAACAAACGATTTACGTTCAAATAGTCCGAATCAGAGTGTGTGAAAAAAAAGAAAAAGAAAAAAAAAGAATGATTAAATCCAACACATTATACCCTTTATTGTATTCACTCTGTGTGTGGTGGACGATTCATTTTCACAGCACTTTTATAGAATCCATTTTACTTTTGTTAAAGCTAGTGGAAAACATAAACACTTTAAATTAAAGATATTTCTACCGCATATTTCGAAATATAAAACGCACTGGTGTATAAGAATCATCTTTTTTGAAAACAAATTCAAAATGAAGTTACATTTTTGTATTTGAAAGATTTTTCTTAAGCAAAAATTCAATCTTATATTTTAAAATTGGATCTTTTCTGTTAATTCACCCCAAATAATGTAAAGTTACTTTCACCCCAAGAAATTATAAATTTTAAAGTTTGTATTTTATTAAATTTTCGGCGCTCTTTTGAGATTATAATTTTAAAAATAAAGTTTGTTTAACTTGCCGTGAAGTTGCTGGAGATAATACAAGAATACAACAAGGAGAGCGGTGTTCGATTCTTAAAGAGAATAAATATTCGTCCTACGTCCATGAAATGCTCTCATTATTGGACACAATCCAAAGCTGTATTTTACCTGGGACTACAATTATGTCGGATTGTTGGAAAGGATAGACACCTCTGAAGGATGATCCTAATTATATTCATCTGACTGTATGAATTTTGTTGACCCAGAAACATCAGCTCAGACGCAAACAATCGAAAGTAACTGGTGGAATGCCAAAATGTAGAATAGGTCTATATTCTGGACTCATCGCAGCATGATAGACACTTATTTTTGTGAGTGAAAACCAAAAAGAACAGTGAGTGCATTTTTGAAAAAAATTTTAAAGGACATTTTTGAATTTTGGTGTGAATTTTAGTAAATATAAATACTTTTTTTATTTTGGAATGAATTAACAAAAAAAATTCTTAAAATTTAGTATTGTTCTAAAGATAAAAGACATCAACATAAGAAAATAGCTTAAATAAAAATGGCTTACTGTTATTTACTTTCGTTCAAAACCTATGAAATGCTCGATGTTTTCACAATGGCTTGATAAAGAATCAGACACTGGATCTAATATTATGGTTTGTTTTGTTTTGTTTTACAGCATATCAACCTCAATGGGTTATTTAATGCCAACAACATTTTTATTGTCAATAATTTTTTAAAAATGTATTGCTGGTAATATTTTTTTTTTAAAATGTATTGCTGGTAATATTTTTTAAAAATGTATTGTAGGTATTTTTTTTTTCAAGAATTAATTGTAGGTATTTTTCTTCAAAAATGTATTGCTGGTAATAATTTTTACAATGTATTTCTGGTATTAAAACATATTTTTACACTTTCATAGTCTTTTCACACCAGTTTGGGGGTTAACTATTTGCCCATAGCTGGGACCCTAACAGGTGCTATCACCTCGCATCAGGGAACACCAGCAATTAAGAGGTGGTTCCACGCTCCTCAAAACCCCCTGACCAGAGGCCTTGCTTTTGGACGTAGTTTATCGTCTTACCCAGGTCGCGGATGTAGTTTATCGTCTTACCCAGGTTGCAGATGTAGATTATCGTCATACCCATGTCGCGGGTCTAGTTTATCGTCATACCCAGGACGCGGATGTAGTTTATCGTCAAACCCAGGTTGCGGGTGTAGTTTATCGTCTTACCCAGGACGTGGATGTAGTTTATCGTCTTACCCAGGTTGAAGATTTAGTTTATCGTCTTACCCAGGTCGCGGATGTTGTTTATCGTCTTACCTAGGTTGCAGATGCTGTTTATCGTCTTACCCAGGACGGTGTATTGTATTTAATGGCCGGCTAAACTAATTTTTACGCAACGAACTCATCCAAGGTCGCACATATCTACTGAAATAATTCATACATTGAGTAAACACATTTATTTGTGGCATATAATTTTTAAGTAAGTACTTGAAGCCATGTATTTCATAGAACTTTACATATATATATGTTACCTTTTTTCCTATACACGCATACTTATGGTAAAGTTTAATACATGAATTAGGGTTAAGAGATAAACAACAAAACAATAGTCCTGACGATAAACTACATCCAGCAGCAAGGCTACTGATTGATAGATTGAAGGTTTTGAGGAGCGTGGAACTATCGCTTAACTGCTGTTGTTCCCAGCTCCACTCTGGCCCGGGGTGGTAGCACATGTTAGGGTCCTAGCTATGGGAAAATAGTGATCACTTCACAAAAAAAAGTCTATGAAAGTAAAAAATACAATTTTCAAAGTAAAAATACGAACAATGCATTTTTATAGAAAACATTTCCAACAATAAGTACATACTAAAAAGTAGCGACTTTTAAAATACAACGACACAACCAACATGAAAGAACGTTCATAACATTAATCCACATATTATCCTACAATTTCTTAAATCAAACTGTATTCCAAAATATAACTTAAACAAAACACACATCACCGCCTCCAGTAATCATCACCCCACAAACATGTATATGCACAAAAGCTGAGTATTATCTACCATGTATTCAATTGTGAAAACAGAATAACATATCATATTTTATTACTTCCAAGAAGTTTTAATTTTGGCATTAAGTGATCCATAACTTGATATGCCGTTAAACAGACAAATCGATCAAACAACAAAATAACTGCAACAACAACAATAATAATAATAATTAGAACATTTATAGCAATATTGTGTAATAAAAATTGTAGCAGATAAAAAAATACGTTCCTACCGTAGATTTTAGCAGTTTTAACATATTTTCTTTTCTTATTAAGTTAGGTTAGGTTGACCGATTTTACAACATATCAGCATCGTTTGATTATTTAATCTCGAAATCAATTATTTTTTTCAGTCCAAAACTAAATATACAAGTCATAATAAGTTTTGACTTTCTATATAATTACCATCAAGAAAATGACCATATTTTTAATGCGTCTATAATAAAGTTTTTTTTTTTATTTCATTTTGCAAAATAGAATTCACATTTGAAAATAGAATACATTTTAAGAATTAGTTTCAACAAATTTAAAATTGTCATCTTTAAAAGTTTTCTTTCCAAACAAGGAAAAAAGAACTTTTTCTATAACTTTCATGTCACGGGAACTGTTCCTTTAATTCTAATAACTGTCAAATCATGTACTTAAATTTGGTCAGTAAGTAAAACTGATTTAAAATCGGGAAGCATGTTTAAAAGGGAACCTAGTTCTTTTTCACAAGATATTCCACTGGATGATTTTTATGGTCTAGGGTGGGGGGAGTTTTTGATTTAATTCACGTTTTGAATGGAATGATTGTCTTCTGTTTTCATTTTTCCAAATATTTTGAAACGGTGGGTGTTTTCCAGATTATCCTTTGGAGTTTGTTGCTTCATTTTGTTGTGTTATTTGAATTTGAGTGTCTGTTTGCGGGGGTCATTAGCTTGGTTTAGGTTTAGATCATTGGGAGTTCTTGCTTTCTTTAAGAATCTCTCTTTTGGTGGCATTGGCATGGAAGATACTTTAGTATAAGTGGGTGGTCAGATTGGAGATTTTTGTGACCTGTTTGTAGGACTTTCGAATAGTAGGCGATTTGGGGGCATCATGAAAAGATTTTCTGGTTGATAAGGTGTGACACAACCACCCTTTCATCTTTTTTTTTTTTTTTTTTTACATGTATTGCTGGCAATATTTCTTTCCAAACATTTATTGCTGGTAATAATGTATTGCTGGTAATAATCTTTTTACAAAGTAGTTCTGGTATTAAAACCTATTTTTACACTTTCATATTGTTTTCACCGCAAATTGAGGGTTAAGTATTTGTCCATAGCTGGGACCCTAACGGGTGTTACCACCCCGGGTCCAGGTGAACCTGAGAACACCACCAATTAAGAGTTGGTTTCACATTCCTCAAAACCTTCTGATCAGAGGCCTTGCCATCGGATGTCGTTTATCGTCTTACCCAGGACGCGGATGTAGTTTATCGTCATACCAACGACGGGGAATTTGTTGTAGCTGATAATCTTTGCACAATATTTCTGGTCTGTTTTTTTTTTTTTTACCATTTTTGTGTCTCTGGGAATGGTATGTATTTCAAATGCAGCATTTCCTTTTCTACCCTTTGCTTCTCTTGCATGTTTCTGCGTATGCTAGAAGATCTTTATGACAACTCATTCAATTGCTCCTTCGTATTCTCTATCAAGGTCGCTGGGTCTTTCTCTCTGCATATCTTACATATTGGTCATCCAACACGTTTGGCTATGAGAGGTCTGTATTTCTGGCATTTCTAGTATATTAGAGGCTAGTATATGCATTGGTTCAATTGCTCATCAGTGAAAGCTATTGTTATACCTGGACGTACCTATTCTATTGTAAATAGACTTTCCCACAGATAAGTAGTAGTAGTGGCAGTCGCCAGTGAAGCTGAGTGAGTTGTGTGGGTCAGTCGATGTCGGACATTAAAGTATGAGCCCCACAACTAGATTGCTGCGTCATTAACTATTATTTCAAGTTCCTAACGTTTTGTACGTCGAACCTAATTTAGGACCGACTTAGTGAAATACAAGCCTCCACTGTGAAAACAACTCTACAACAGCTATTTTGCTCCCTTTTGTTTTTTTTGGCAGGGTTAAAGTGTATGATTTTTTTTTAATTAATTTGTTTTCTTTTTATGCTTATTCTTCCTATGATCGCTAGTGTTTTGGGGTCTGTTTTCTTCTCAGTGTTCATGTTTGTATTTAGTGTTTGGATTGGATATGTTTCCATTTTATGCTACCGTACATTTACATCGTCAATGACTCTACATCAGTTTTGTATATCAACCTCTATTGGTTATTTAATGAAGAAATATCATTATTTTAGACAACATTTTATGGCTTCAACTAAATATATACTATAAATAAGTATTGTTGGTTGGTTGATTTTATTTAGGGACCTCTATGGATTATTTAATGCTGAAATATAAATATTTTGAACACAATTTTATGGCTTCAACTGAATATATACTATAAATATATATATGGCTTCAACTAAATATATACTAAAAATAGTTGGTTGGTTGATTTTGGCTTGCGTCATATCAGCCTCTAGGGGTTATTTAATGCCGAAATATAAATATTTTGGACACAATTTTATGGCTTCAACTGAATACATTTTGAACGCAGTTGTATGCCTTCAACTACAAATAAAATTCACTACAAATAGGTATTGTTGGTAATTTTTAGATATAAAAATTTATTGCTGGTATTATTACTATAAAAATATATTTTTCTACTTTAATAATTTTTTTATTTTTGTTTGGGGGGGGGCACTATTTGCCTATAGCGCGGACCCGAACAGATGCTACCACCACGGGTTAGAGTAGGCCTGGAAACAACAGCACTTAAGAGATGGTTCTATGCTCCTCAAAACCTCCAATCTCCCGGTTAGAGGCATTGCTGCCGGGTGTAGTTTATCGTCATACCCAGGAATACTCTTGATAGGTTCTAGTTTTTGTTTTAATACCATGTCTCTTCAGTAGATCACGGTATTATCTTTGAATTACCATGCATTCTTGTGAAAAATAGTAGTTTGTAATTCAGTGTTCCTTCTTTAATACTTATTGCAACCTAAAGCATCAGAGCCCAGTCTACCCTACTAATTAATCCATACATGGTAGAGGGAGAAAAGATGAATTAATGCATTTCCCAAGTAAATGCAGGTGGTTAGGCTGGAATTTGAACTCTGCTCGCAAATTTCACTTTTCGCACCTGTATACGCACATCCTATTAAAATTATAGAACCACCTTGAACACTTAATGGCCACTTGAAAGTTTATAGCGCCACCAAGTGGGTGTTAAGGGGTGTGTCTATGTTCCAACTGTAGAGAGTAATGAGTGGGTGATTGTATAGCGGCAATCATTTCTGAAGGTGTCGGGTGGAGGTGTTTTACTTGCATGAAGGTACTTTTATCTGCGCCTCTATTTTTTTTTTTGCGTGATTGTATGTATGTATTACCGTGAGTTTCGCTGCAGAATATAAGTGTTGCCGCGTATGCGGTTTTCTTATGGGGGATTTACATTAAGTCCCCAAGCGAGCGAAAGCCGATAGTTAATTTGTAATTGGAATGGGCCAATCAAATACACCTATTTTCAGAAGGTTGGTAATATGAAACTCACCAATATTACTTCACCTAATTTGTAAGTTAATTTCGTGCTTGATAAACTATGAGTGAAGTCAACGTGCGCGCTTGACCTCAATATTATTCTCTCTCTCTCTCTCTACATTTCCCTCTCTCACCCTCCCTATCTCTCTCCCTAGCTCTCTCTTTCTTACACGAGAGACGGTGTTTCAACGTGATATAGCCGTAAGCCGTATATATATATATATATATATATATATATATATATATATATACGAGGGTGCTGAAAAGTTCTTATTCCGACCAATTTCTTAAAATCTGAGTGATCAAACATCTGGATTTTTTTGTAAAAATGACCTCTAACGTAAACAAATGACATCATATATTATGACATGGATTAAGTCCGACAAGTTTTAATATATTTTCTGTTTATACAGCTTCAATTCCCGTCGGGGGTTACAGAGTTTCTAGTAAATTTCTCGAGCATTCAGGCCGGTAAATGTAGTAAATACAGTTTATTATAAACAGAGCATTTACTTTATGTCTATAAAAATAACGTATAAACGTATATATATATATATATATATATATATATATATATATATATATATATATATATATGTGTGTGTGTGTGTGTGTGGAAAGATAGATAGAAAATAGGAAAGAACTCGTTAGGTAAATAATCCAAAGTTCTTTAGTATTTTTGTTATTATTTTTGAAAATAGTGCTCGATACAAAAGTAGAGCCTAAATATAATTATTATATATATATGTGTGTGTGTGTGTGCATAAATATAATTATATATATATATATGTGTGTGTGCGTGTGTGTGTGTGTGTGTGTCAACACTCAGCAGCGACTGATGTTATCGTTAAGGTCACTGCCCTAAATTACATTTTTTTAAAAAGAAATGTTCATATCTTGTTAGGGCATTCCGGAGTCTACTAACATATATTTTCGTCCTTGAAAGGTAAACAACGCGGTTTAAGTAGTCAATGGATTTTTTTCAAAATATTTTTCAAATGCTTCTTATTACTCTAATAGTATTAGCAGTATATATATATGATTGCTAATAGTTTTACTATATAGCGTCTACTAGGGTGACTAACCAATCCCTAGACGCTTGCTCAGGCGCATCTGTGCTTATTCAACACGTACAGACCCCACTTGTGGTTTATACTGGAACTATGCTGAGACCTTAGTTACAGATCCTGGGTGTGTTATCTAGTGTGATCCACAATTTGAACAAGGCCAGCACGCTCAAGCCCTTGGCAACGTTGACTTGTGACTTCGGGTCACAAGTTCCGTCTACCCAATTTCACACACAAGGCTTTGGTCAGGCACTTTCTAAAGGTATCGCACGCTGGGATCGACCCCTCCAGTTTGATAACAGTCTCCTTCCTAACAAATCGACCATGGTGAGATTCGTACCCGAGTCTCAAGGTCAGAATGAGAGTGTTCTAACCACTTGGCCATTTGTCAATGACGTGAAGAAAGAAAGAAAGAAAGAAAGAAAGAAGAAAATGTTTGTATGAGACAAGAATGGTTTTACTATAGAAATGCATTGAAAAGAAAAAGGCAAGCAATTGTCAGTGGTGAGAAATTAAACTAAACGTTACCGACAGAATTATTTTTGATTTTTTCCAAACGCTTCCTTATCTTTACCGCCTCATTGCCTCTCTTCTTAACGTATTGTTTGTTATCACCTCTCTCCAGTCAGGTTGAGGCTATGAAGTACGCATATTTAAAAATGTTATTTGATGAATGATAAAAAAAAAATGACCTTATCTCAAAGTGTAAATGATCTTGATAAAAAAATGGCTAAATAAAGTCCAACAATGGCGTCAAAAAGTAAAATGCTTGCTTGAGGCCTGGCCGGCAAATAGCAATGACGTTGTTGTGATCTTCCCATATTAAACACAATAACCAAGTGTGCAGATCATTGCCTGTTGTAACATATCCTCGTCCCTATTAAGCATTCATTACGGACGTCATGACAGTTGACTAGAAGAGGGCAACTAAGTTGAATTATCTCAAGCATGAGAAGCAGTTGATCTATAGGATTGATGCCGTTTCAAGAGATTTGACTGTTTTGAGTATGAAAGTGTGTATGTGCGTAGGCGTCTTTTTATGTTCGATTCGATAAATCTTCGCTGCCACCAACCGCTGTCTCTTTCGCCACATATATTGTTTTACAAAACATAGCTTATATAAATAGATAAGCCATACATGCACACACGCACAAGAAAACAGCAATTGAGTCAATACCGGAAGCTAACCGAAAGGAAATATAAAAGTAGATTAACAAAATAGGAACTGTGGCAGACTGGAAATTATGCAAAGATGTAGGTTCAAGTGTATAAATAAATGGTATAATAAATACTAATCAGAAACGTTCCGAGTAAACAAAATCATAGATAAATACTGTATATTTCTGTGTATAAGGCGACTTATAGTTAAGACAAGAGCCAAAATATAAGTAAATTTTATTTGATATCCGTAGTATAAGATGACCGAAAACGTAAGCTAGACTACGTGCGTACGCCGCCAGAAGTATTTAGGCATAACGTAATGGTTCTTGAAATAAAGCTGATGTTATTACAAATGTTGTTTTGCTTACCTTTATCGTTATCAAATCAAAAGGAATAAAATAATATAAAGTATTAACATGAAAATAACAAGTGTTATTCTTACGACTCGTACGAATGAAAACAGATCTTACGTATTCTGTTAGGAGAAATAAAAAAATTATGGCATCTTAAATGTTTTGTTGCTTAACACCACAAAAACCGTATAATGTATGCTATTGAAAAATAAAATTTGCATGTAATCAAGAGTGATTTCCTCCTGTTTTGTTATTCTCCTCTTTGAGAGAGCTATTTCTGTTTACTGGGACTATAAAAGGACACTACGCGAACCTTGTATTCTCAGTTGAATAAAGCTTTCTTAAAGCCTACACCTACGTACTTGTGTCATGTTATACTAAATATTGTTATTATTTAACATTATAATGATAATGAATTTTAATTAGAAATATAGATTGTATGTTATCTTAAATGTTGTTATTTAGCACAAGTACAAGAAATAATGATTGGTGTGAACGCACACATAACTCTACAAATCAATAACAAAA